TTTTTTTTGTCCCGGCAGTCTGGACGATTCCACGAACCGGCAATTTTGGCGGGCCGATTAAGAATCATCCATGGGAGGCCTGCCGGGTCACGGCTCATTGACTGGTCACCTCTACTCAAAAGGACTAATAATTAGATAGATAAAAGAAAAGAAAAAAGAATATATAAGAGGGGCGGCTTATTTGGTAACTACTATTAAGGTCAATATATTCTGGCACACAATTATGCTCCCATTAATTTGTGTACCGGTGCTAGTGGTGATAGCTTGTGCAATCTTCATCTTGAAGTTTTCGCCTTTGTGTGCACATTTTGATCCTATAGATTCTAATTTGGACAATTTTGATATTGATATCTCAATATTCATCAACTTGTGTCTAAAGTCGTTTATGATGAACTTTTTATAACAAGGCCTTCTTTGCTTAACAATATAAGATAGGACACGGTCACTTATATGTGCTTTATCTATAGTTTGTTACGGTCCAAAAGATAATTTTAGGTAGGCGACACGCGCGATTGTACCTTTCAACGCGCTGATAAGAAGTCGTGGGAGGGTGTGATGATAAGTTTAGGCCTCGTTCTAAATTTTTAGTGAAATTACGAATAAAGAATCAGTGTAGTAATATTATTTGCACTGTTATCGTTATTTCCTCCTCATCGACTACCATCGAAAACCCGACGCATATTGCTTTTGCTCGTTGGCTTGAGACACTGTGAGAGGCATATTCAACAGAGAATTGAGTTTGACTGGCGAATGTCTTCGAATTGGCATAGAAGGCTCGTATTTAAACAATGTCATCAGATCTTGAGGCTCATAGCCGGCGAAGGTCGAGCAGCAACAATAAAAGCCTCCAAACTAAACTTATAATCATAATTCCCTAAAGATGCACGACCCATAATTTGCTACAAACAAAATGGGACCAATAACAATTACAGATTAAAGTATCGAATATATCAATTACATTATGAATATTAACGTAGCTGGTCAAACTAAATCAACAATTCATGATTCATAAGTATTATACACAAATAACATGAATCGAGCTTAGGGTGCTCGAGCTCAAGCTTGAGTTAAGCCCATACCGAGCCGAGCCGAGCCCGGCTCGTTAAATAAGCGAGCCGAAATCAAGCTCGAACGCTCGACACGTTAAGGCCTTGAGTTTGTACCGAACTATATGTTACATAATATGTGTTTTGAATTACAACGGGAACCTATGAACTGACTGAAAGGTTCAGTTCGTACAAGAAGAACTAAAACAAAATGAAATTACAACTCGAACGCGGAGAGATTTAAGCCGAGGCGATTGAAATCTATCCGCAAGACAAATACGCCCCGTGTAGTGCTGACGGGTTAGTGCGTAATGCCCCCAAAGATACAACGACTTTAACACTCGGAAGCTGTAGCACACCAGCCTTCAGAGTCCAGGCGAACAAGAATGAAGTCGAGAACCGAGCACTATGATATGATGTGTGAGGCTTTGAGAGTATCAGATTGCATGAAAAATGTTGTGTCTTTCACTGCAGCTCTAAGTCCTATTTATAGGACTCCCACACCTTAAGGGAAACCAGAAGTCACATCTGCCACTTAAGGCAGAGTTTATGAGCCAAAAACGTTTCTGGTGTTACTACACCATTAACCAGGTGTTACTACACCATTAACCAGATGTTAAGGCCATTAACCAGCCATTAACATCCACCTGAACAGTCACATTCCACATGAAAGGTCACATGTCCATGTTCATTGTACCTGGAGAGGTTTCACTTGGGTTGGGTCAAAACCGAGTCTAAATTCAACTAGAATTAGATTTATCATTTTGGGCCTAAAGTTGTAAATAAATTTGCAGCAAAAAGATATATACTGATTGGGCCCAAGCCCCAAGCCCCAA